TGGATTGCTGGTGACTGGTGTTTCCCATTTCTGAATGAGGTTCATTGGAAGAAAATTAGTAGGGTTTGAATGATATTTAAGTTTTTGAATCAAAATAGGAACATTTATTTACTTTATTTCCTATTTGGGTTTTTTTTTATTAATTTTCTTTTCATTTATGAAATATCAGAACTAATATTTCATTTAATCGAAAAAAGTAATTCTCACACCATTTATATTTTTATGATATTACGATGCTCGGGATTAAGGACAGAGGAGGATTAGACTCTTGGTTTTTCTTTTCATTTATGTAATATTAGAACTAATTGAAGCTGTAAGATATGCCCTGCTAACTACCTTTTGATGACCTAACACCGAAGTGCTACCTTTTACTTGGGAGGGAGAGTAATCATACATTTCTGTGTTGTAGATAAAATGTATTACTCCAAACTGGAGTCCTCTTTAGATCCCTTTTTATTTCTTTCATCTCTTAAATTGTGAGTTGTAGCTTCATTCTGTAAAATTGTTCCTGATAATAAAAGGGGACATGGCGAATTGGCAGTGTTAGCAAATCTAAATATGATTGTAAAGACTACCCATGAGCGTAGCTTATGGGGGAAAATGGCTGGTTCGAGTTCAATCACTCTGATAAGTATGTTTGAATCTCAATAACGGGGTTTGGATTCTTTTGAATTGATATAATTTTTTGCTCATACCCTATATTCATTTGAGAGTAAAAAGGCAGTGCGTATAAGAAAGAGAAGCTCACGGGTTGGCCGTCTGTTTAATGCCATTCTAATATTATCCTGTGATTTGTGCTTGACTGTAGCATACATGGGATGGAATAATAAAGAGGTACGCATGTGGTAAAAATGATAAATATTGGAATGGAACAACTAATATCATTAAGTTAGGTTTTAACCTAGAAAGGCTTTGTTGTGAATCTTTTAAACACGTGAGATTTGTTCAATAAAGATGGAGATATTTTGATGTTGATTGGTCTGTCCTTGTTGTTTTATGGTAAAAAAAAGTGTTTTCGGGTAATATGGTTGTTGGCCTGAAATGTACCTTAGAGATATATCTTTGTTCTGCATGTTTGTTAGAGTTAGAAACATCAAATACTGTAGCAACAAAGCGGTGAGTGAAAGGTTATACTCAATTGTCTTCTTTGAATGCGAAGGCAGTTGATTGGTTTTGAATATCAGAAGGAAATAGATAGTTCCATTCAAATCCTAAACGCAGTAATGTGTCTGTATAGTTTATTTTTGATATATTATTACTGGTGGTAGAGTGATTTTATATCTTATCATCTTTTGTCATGCCATATATGATCTTTCACTTGCCTTCC